ATTACGCAATTTATTACGAAAGTTGTCTACCATTTCATACTGATACTATTTCCTAGGTGTAAAGCTAGATTACATTTGATATTCGACTATTACTTAATAGAAACTATTATACTCCGARCATATCTACAGAAAACGTTTCACCTTAATAACCKATTTTCCGGTTTAGGTAAATGATTCACCGTTACGACGGCAAGATTACGCGTTCGTTAAGTCTGATTAAGTTGCAAAGTCAATTAAAGCCTGTTTGTTTCCCTTCCATAATCTCCTCTTCATAGGCATTCGATTTGGGCATACTATCATCTATATCACAATCGTACCAAGCATGCAGTAGCCATGCATTCCCTCATATCTKTATAACAAAATCTACTTCATTTGTATCATTGGAGAGGACAATCAAATTTGCCCTCTTTTTGATTCGCTTGTAATACCTTGCATGTTAATGAACCTTTACGAGTGGTATAAACATACAAACCTATACTATATATTCAACATTAAATCCCAAACAAAAGATTAACCATCTGAATCTGTTGCTTTAGGCTGTTAAGTCACATATAAGCCTAAATTCGAGAGACTTGGTGGTGTTAATGTGTTGCTTAATCAAATACGAATGTTGAATAATATATGCCAACTGCACTTGTTTGCTATGGGTTGCATTGATCAAAGTTATATCTTGATCTCAYCGAGCTTCAAAGTTTCCAGTTGATTAAATTCAGTGATTGAAGTTAGTTACATCATAGGTCATAGCATGTCTGCTAGTAATACGGCATTTGCCATTATACAACACCAGCATCCCTTGTGTGACCATTGCARTAAGAGTAAACGTTTCCCCATCCATCGTGAGAACAGCTTSCAAGTGAGACCTCTGTGCCTGTACATTGCATTTCGTTTAGCCATATCTTACCCGTCCCWCGTCCATACCTCRAAGGTCCTACAGTTTTGGTAAAACCAAGTTGACGGCATGCAACCTTGGCATCGGGCATATTCCAGTTATAATGACATACTGTTCCCCACTGACCCTGGTGATACACCTCTTCGAACTCTAGAAGTTATCAACACCATATACCATAATACTCTCATGATGAAAGGCAGGTCGACTGGAATATAAATAATTAATATTATAAGATGCTTATACCATATTATAATGCAATAATGATGCAAACCAAKGAAAATTAACAATTACATACCAACATTGGCGGCGTAGTTCTAATAGTCACATCTCGTACGTGTACTGAGCGTAATACAATACTGATCAATGTTAGTTAAGACAACAACAACAACAACGTTTTATTGTACCTAGAATTACATTCATATTTACAAACAAAATTTCGTAACTATAAGTACAGGCCCTAACTAATAACTATAAAGTTAAAAATGCGCTAGGACCATTTAATTATATATATATATATAATATTGACATGTTTAAAGAGGACGGAATTCTAGGAGTGGAAATGATCATCATCATCATCATCATCATCATCAATATTCAATGCCGGACATGATTTTACTTCTTTGTTA